GATGCAGGTGTTCTGACGCCTTCTTCACCACCTAGGTATCAAGCGAGAGAGGTATCAGTCTGCGTTCTACCGATTTCCGCATTGCGCTTCGAAAAAATGTATCTTTCTAACTTTTGTTGGACTCTACATTGTTCACAAACTTTACATAAGACACCTTTCCAGATTAAGTCAAAAACCTTGATAAAATCAGGTAGGGTTGCAAAGAATTTGAATTCCCGTTCTCTCTATGAACATCTGGATAAACATCCTGTGATTGTCGTGAATCCGGCTTGTGTTTTCCGAAAGATTTTCTTAAGATGTTTTCTGATCCTCTCCGCTACAACGGATATCACCACTTACAAGCTAAAAGAATGCTCTCAAGCCGGAGCAAGTCATGATTTTTCTAAGATCAGATTTTACAGCTTATTGCACTATTTACTTTTAGTCGCATGAGAAGTCATTTAAATGAATCAATATTCCACAAATATTTTAGCACATGCAGTGTTAGAAGTATCTTGCATGATTTAATCCGTTAGGGTTATCTTGCAGTCCTCATAAATCATATTTCAAGAGCTGATAATCATTAGATGCTGCCACGTAAATATAACAATATATTCATGAGACAGAACGGCCAATCCTTTGCTGCAGGAATATTTTCGTCATCGTCACTAATATGATCATCATGAGGTCCACATAAAGGCATAAGCATCGTTCGAACGTGAAAAGAACTTTCAGGGGGTTTGAAGTTCTACTGGCCATTGTTATACCCTGAACCGCAATAAAACTGTTATGTTTTGATATCCAACGAAAGATGGTTTTTTAATTGAAACAATTAACCCGTTCTTCTTTTCTCTCGTTACTTTGGAACAATGTCATAATGCTCACATATTGAACTACCTTCACTGCCACAAATACATGATTATCCATTTAAGTAATATGAATATTATTGAAATAGAAGCATTTCTTTCACGACTGCGTTGAACCTTTAACCTCACGCCGTATCCTCAGTCGTATTTCAACATATTCACTCGAGAAATGTACAAAGAGTCACTCATCCCCTCTAAAGCAAAACGTCAGGGGACGAAGGCAGATTTTGCATTGTTAAAAAACAAACTACAGCAACTTTTGATTATTAGAACATATCTCCAGTGTCACTTTGTATAAAACAGTAAACTGGGATGCAACCCGTCTGCTAGGCGTTTGCTTCACCGACAGCAACTCATGTCGACGACCAACGAACAAAAGCCGTTTACGAACAGACGTCAACGGGAATCACAGCAATGCGGCTGCTAGAAACAGACTATTGTGAAACTGTGGACGGTGGCCAGTTTGAGTTTTGGAATTGCTAACTCCAGAGAACCAGCTGGACTCAACGCAACGCATTCAACAGACTGGGCTTGCTTTAGGCGCTGAAGTTGGTTAGAAACCGTGAAAGCATAAAAATAAAGACGACAAGAAACGAGTTTTACGCGGCATCCACAGCGTCCACACAGTCGCGCTTAGCAACGTCAGAAAACACCGCCTTTTTGGCCAAAGTCAGTTTGTCAGACATCGACCGATCGAGCTCCAATTGGCAATTGCAAAACAGACCAAACTTTGATTTGAAGACCTTCAGGCAACGAAGTGAGGTTTTCCTGAGTCTGAAAAGTACAGATGCAATAGTTTTGGCGTTTTGAGGCGTTTTCATTCACTGACATTTCTTTCAGACACGGCGTGAAAACTTCAGAGCAATGGAAATGGTAGACGGCACTCGATTTGGGAAACATACAGGACCTCGTCGCTGAAGCCAATTGCACGTTTTCGTATGCGCAGTTTGCAAGGTTCATGTAAGCCATGATCCGATGGTCGAATCCCGTTAACCTGAAATCAACGTGCCCTTTATTATGTCGCTATTAGGCTATAAAGACTGAGACGTTAGTCAATTTGAAGCAGCAAAACTAGACATATTTAATATATTCATAGCAATTTTAACCTGGGCTTAACTTTTATGCGATAAATATTTTCAGGCTTATAAATCGAGATAATTTTTTAAGGGCTAAACTAGAGGACAAAATAGATATGAATTGTTATGAAATTGTGACTTAGGCCACCGCAAATGTCATCCTTCGTTCAGGCGGAATATGACACTGAATGTTAGTAAGGGCTGAGTGCTAACAAAGTTATGAAGTCCTGATTATCCACATTTACAAGGATATTACTTTTGATCGATCCAGAGTCGCTCGGTTCTTCCGCTCACTTTCTCAGTGAGTTTCAAGTCTTCTTTTTGAGAGTACATAATAAGTATTGGTTATTCGTAATGAACTGATTTGCATTTGCTGTGATCATCACTCTGGGCCATTTGCTTAAGCAAATTTGCAATACTTTTGGCATACGGTATCGAGTACCGTAGAACGAATAATTCCTCTATGAGCGCAGGTTTACCGCTATTGTTTTGCTCACATTTCTATGCTAACCGTGTGGTCATCGTCTGCCGTGTTTCGGCTCTCAAAGGAGAAAATTAAGGATTGATTCTCAACAGTTTGTCTAAAAGGACCAACCTCCTTTCGTTAATCTTCACCCCCTGCCGGGCTGTTTAAAACAGGGAAGAGACTTTCCATATGTGGTACAACCTTTTAATTTCCATTATGAATTGTCGTTCTTACAGCTTTCTTAGAACAACCGTCTCCAGGTCACACAGAAATACTGAGTTGATCGATACAACGAACAGGCGCACTTTGTAGGAAGGACTAATCCTTTTTTAGGAAAAACATTAGACGTGGTTCAGAAGACACTTGAACATAGGGCGATCTTTCTATCTGACTGTAGTTAGATGGTGCTATCGCTGGAAATCGTTGAGGTAGGACACTTATTTGATGACGAACCACCTTAAGCACTTCACCTTCCTGTGTAACGGCTGCTTTGAATGGATTCCTCATGAGGTTTAACTTCAGGACACTAAGAAAGAAGTTGATTTCTTAGCTACGTTGCATACGAAAGTCGCCAGGTGACAGATCCACTTCCCGTATATTCACAATCACAATACCACCTGTGTACTCCAGGTCAGCAAGATATCTGGTCAGATCTCTTCAACTGCGCCTTTCCTATAAAATCAGAAACTCATCTTTGCCACTGTTTTTAACTAGAATGCCCAGAACAGTGTTGAACCACTAGGACAAAAGTATATCTCTCTGGAGAACTGGGAATTAATAGGAGACCACTCAGAAAGTCGGTTTGCACCACATATGATGCCTGCATGGATTGTTCAAAAATGGAAACGAAGTATTCAGATATCCCATAGCATACTAAGATTCTCCACATGCTTGGAAGATGTACTAATTAAGTGTAGCC